TTGCTCAATACCCTTTACATACCCTGACACTGAGCAGATCGGGCCGTTCTAGTAGAACTTTGGCCACATCAAGTTCCAAGGTCGAGCCCCACTGAGAAGCCGTTCAAAAAGTCAAAAACCATTTTTGCCAACGATCATGAATCTTGCGATGCTTGGAGAAGACTTTCTCACGTGTCCACCTGCCGGTCTCGAAAGAAATCAAAAGACAGCAAACTCCTGGTTCTGAAAGGAATCACAACAATCTAAACAGCAATTGTACCTTGGTGGGATGGCGGACAGTGTGGCCCAGTGTGGCCCCAGAAACTGAACGGACTTTGTGGCACACAGTCTGAACGGACCTTGTGGCATCAAGAAGACTCCGGTTGATGAACCACATGAGTGCACTTGTGTGCGACCTGGAGTCCAGGTCCCTAGTCACCATCCCAAGCAGCTCACTGACCCGACTGCCTTCCAACACTAAGCGGCAGAAGAGTGAACATCAGGCATCACATACACAAGCCGTAACTAGGAGTACACAATAGTAAACACTGGACACAAATCATGGCCACCTCTGCTGAACACCGAGAAAAGGTGGCCTGGCCCATCCCATCTTCAACTGGCCACTCTCTTCTGCCCCGACGTTTTCACGCACAGGACCTAGGAGACCATGACATGATATGACAGGTGTGTCCATGAAGCAACATGAACCAAACAATCACAATCAGCTGATAGGCATGAGAGTAAACTAGATAACACTCCAGACTCCGGACCGTTGATCTGACATGATCCGACCAAATGCTCTCCACCTCCAGTCCCCACGACTCCAGTCCCATGCTGCCATGCTCATATTCTTCATCTGAGCTTCTGAAGCTTCAACCTCCTCCCACTTCCTTTTAGAACTGCTGGAGCTCATCGCCGGGAAAAGCTCCTTCCCAGTCTCCACGAACTCACATGGCTGGATGCCTCGTCTGGATGCCGCCAGGAACCACAGGAACCACCTCTTGGAGAGTGCTCCACCACGAAGCATCACGATGAAAGGCAAGTGTCCCACTTGAAACAATCATGGCAATGGCAATGGCGGTCTCTTTGGGAGACTCACCCAACTCTTTGGATATCATCAAAGTCAGTCGATCGCCCTTTTTGGCAACCCTTTCTGCACCCTGCCATCCCCGCAGACGATGGCAAACCCGCCCCCAACAACCCACTCCACGGACGTTGGACCTCCCTCCCTCCTCCAGAAGGATCGAGTCCACTGAAGGAGCGGGTCCATGCGGGTCCGGTCGGAGGTGAAGTCGATGAGTTCCACTCGGTCCACTCGGTGTCCGGAATCCAATGCCATCTGCCCACACCACCCTCAAAACAGACCACAGCCGCCCGCAACTTTCAGGCTGTGTGCCTTCAATAGCCTCTACCAGGAGACTTCTTGGAGGGTGCTGGTATCCCGATACAGTTGCTTGGCCCCTCCCCGTATCGGCTTCTCCCTGCCTTCGCCATTCTCCCCTTCCTCCATGGCCTTCTTCACCTCAGCAAACACTTTTGCCAACAGTCATGAACTGATGTGCACATACAATCAACATCACCATATAAGTGTTTTGGGATGTTTGCTTTCACGAACACTTCTTTTCGATCTTCGTTCTTGCTCTGCGGTAGATGTATAATACGATATAATACGAATTCATCACCAAGACGGTGTTCATCGCACCTGGAAGCTCCGGTCCCTCGACGAGAAAACGAAAGAACGGAGAAACAGGCGGTGTTCATCACACGTCTTCATGATGTTTCTTGATGTTTCTTGGATCAAGAGAGTACCTGTATAATGTATCTGCCTACGAGATACAGCATGATTCAACTAAACACTCAAAGCAGCCCGAGCTGCAGTCCCTTCCACAGCGCCACCCTGTTTCTCGGTACACTGCAGCCACTTTCTCCTCGGCTGCTCACGGGCATATACATATGCTCAACACCCAAAGCACAGTGAAAAAATATTATCCTGGAACACCCTGTTTGTAGAGGAAAACGGTCTTTGAAAGGGCCAGGCCCTTTAACTTCCATGTTAGTTCAAGGGAGTGTAGGCTTTACTTGCCGCTTGCCTTGCGCAAAGGTCTCGGGAGGTGCTGTAAACTCTGCCGGAAGTTTTGGAGGCTTACTAACACAGGTTTGGGTACGACATCAGGAAACCTCCGGTGTTTTACAGTAATTGTGTACTGCATTGGATGGTGCCTGTGTGGTGGATTCAAATCGGCTGACGGCGGACAAGCGACCAAACAAGCCAATGGTTGGCATCAAAAGCGGTGGACGGCATTCATCAACAACTGTTTCACAAGTGACAATCATTGTGGAAGCGACCAAACAAGTCTCTTCCCGCGCTGGGAAGGGCGCTCCATAGGAAACTTGGCGGCCTTGTTTATGCAAAGTGACTCTTGCATGAGTCTCGGACGAGTGTTTAGAGGGGAGCTGGAAGCAACACAAAAGTGTTTGACAGGCTCTGGACATGCTGATCAGGCCGGGCATCCAGTGATCATCCTTGCAAAGAGTCATCGCGTTGCCTACACCGCACTGTTCCCATTGTGAAGCACGACGAGCCATGCGGGGGAAAGATGGGGGAAAGAACACCCTGTTTCTGAGAGTCTTCCATTCCGAATCTACAGAGCTACGGAGAAGAAACCGCGACCTCACACACACACAACCACCTACAATTCTGCATGATACATTTTGTCTATAGAATCGTTTATATATATATATATATTATATTGTTATATAATTGTATATGTGTGGGTCTGACTCCCGAGGTCATACTCACCACATTGTCTAGGTAGTACTAGGTGCCCGAAAGGCAGTCGAAAATGCAAGAACCAAGGCATACTGACCTCTACGGCCCTGCGGCCTCGTGTGTTATTGTATAGGTGTGAGAGGTGCAAAGTGTCTGCGAAGAATGCTTCCTTTGGGCACCCGCTTCACAAAGGCCTCTTTGAATGATGACAAATCAAAAGTCTGCTTTCAGCACACCCATCCCGGCAACCTTTACAACCAGCCCGAGAAACAACATCACCACCAGCCAAGCGGGAATGCGTCAAAAGTGGCGCGCCTACCACCACCAAGGCCCTCCTTGCGCGTGTAATCATCACATTTAGGCGGCGCCAATCCTTCAAGAAGCCAACACTGCCTGAGGAAGAGATGGCCTGGTCCAACATGGGCTTCAGGCCGTGTTTGGAAGTGTTGGTGGTATAGGAAGAACAATGAGGACATGGGATTTTTAGTCAATGAATCGCCCAATAAAGAATGGTCTCAGTCTATGTCTCGCCTATTGAGTCATGTATTTCTTGGTGGCCACCACAGTTCCATGGTTGGATGTGGATCAGCCACCGACAAGGGCAAAAGGGCACTTGCAAAATCACCAAAATCATCTCCCATCAGTCCACCCGTCACCCAGTCTTCGCAGTTGGATACCGTCAATGTCGGAACTCCGATCATCCAGGATCGGTCTTTTAAACATTCAAGGGATGTGTCTAGAGCCTAATCTCCAAAAGTAGAAGACTGGAAGGATTGTGTAAGAAAGCTCCTCACCGTGACAAAACCTTCTGGATCCCTTAGTGATCTCCTTTTCACGTGGCTGTATAATGCTTACAGAAGTCTTTCCAGTAATACTCTGTACATGACCTTTGGAGAAAGCAATGCAACAAAACGTGAAACAACACCGATCACCTACACCGCTGGGTCTATCTCCTCCGATGACGTCCGCTACTGGTTCGGTGCCCAGGGGCCCCAGGAATTGCATCGCACCGCGGAGAAGATGATGACCTCCTTTTCCTCATGTTTCTCCGTGTCTTTCAGCACGGAAAGTGTTTCGGGTCACGGAAAGCGTTTCGGCTCAACAGGTGAAAAAGGCTTGGTCCAAACTGAGAGTTGACGTGTTTGCGCCCTATGTCAGGTGCCACTGAGGGGTGCGGGGGAGTTTCATAAAGACGCCATATATGTTTGGTTTTCTTTTCCACCACGTGTGTAAGTTGTAGACATTGCAAACTGTCATTATATAATGCAAACACACCCATTTGAATTGCAAAACCCTTTCATAGGGTAATTTCATGGACTCTATTCAATCTATTCATCCACAGTCGACATGTCCACATGACATGACTATAATATTATAATATATAATACATGATCCCTGACGGAGGTGAGTTCGTACGAAACCTGACAATGCTCCGAACGGCAGGGCCACGGCCCGGGCGTCCAGAAAGGGCCAGGACCCTGCTGGACCCTTCGGGGATTGGTCGGATAAGTCTTGTCCGAGTAAAGCTGGCCATGGCTTGCAGATTGAAAAAAAATGAAGGAACTGCTTTCAATGAGCTTTCAGTGTCCGAGCTTTCAATGAAGGAAAAGCTCTTAGCAAATCTTGCAGCCTGACAGGCCTGGCCATGGCTTGCCGAAAAGAACATGAGACAAGGTCACTGCTGTACCTGTGCCTTCTCATCCACGAGAATCCAGGATTGTTCGAAGCTGTTTCCTCCCAGGCTGGTGCATGTCCATCCACATCCACGTCGGCGTGTCGTACACAGGTCTTGCCAAATGGATCTCGACCCTGACCATGAGCCATGTCCACGCTCTTCGATAATTTGTTTATAGTCCCAGAGAGGAAACGCGCATGTGCGCCTCCTGCAGAGCTGGGTCATCGACGTACCTGTCCAATCCAAGGCATGCCTAGGGATGTGATTTACATTGATTTACTATGGATGGGATGTGTAGTGTAGAGTTGGGGGGGTCCATCAACCTTTTCCCAGACACTCCAATATATGCCATAATGTGCCTACATTTGGGTGGTTTGGGCGGTCAATGGGGCGGCAGTCCTATGGCAGTCCCATGGAATGTTTGCGGTTGGTTGGTGCGCGAGCACGTGGTTTTTTCTGCTCAGTCCAAGTCTCTCGTCCTTGGAAGTTGTCCACTGAGGCAATCTCCAAGTTCGTGACCACCTCCTCGGGGTGAGGGCGGTGAATGCCCATCAGCATGGCGAGCTTCCCTCACCACGGACCCCATTCCCTGGAAAATCCGAGGCCGGCCACCGTTGTTCCATCTGTTGGATTTCAGTGTTTTCAGTGGAGAAAACCATGGCGCCGCCGTTGTCCCTCCAAAACGGTCTTGCGTCAATCACGTTGTCGTTCGACGTTGGTCTCCAAAAGAAATAGAGCATCCTAACTGTTCGGGTGAAACCTGAGAGGGTGATACCTGAGAAGCTTGAAGCTTTAGTCCCTGAAATACTTGAAGCATCTTGAAGCTTTGGTGCAGGTCGACCTAAATTTACCAAACTTATAAATTTGATCCGTTGATTTTGGGGATTGCCAAGATGGCCTATGGCATTTGACCCACAGCCATCGTTGAGAGTCAACTGGGGGAACTTGGCCCACAATCGGGTGCCCCCCCTGTCCGACGCACAAAAGTCTGCCAAACCCTGCCTTTGGGACGCCCAAGCTGTTCTGCAGGTGAATCAACTTCCGCAACACCCGCACTTGGCCCTTGTAGGGCGTCACCACCTGAAGGATGGTGCAAATCTTGCGTCTTTGGGTGATCTCCGATCTCCCAAACATTCTGGAGAGGACATCCCAAAGACTACGATGAGTTTTATGTACCTACCCTCTTTGATTTGTATATATAGACAAAGAGAGAGAGAGAGAGTGAATGTAATGTCCTGTGTCCTTCAATTTTGTCGGAGAAATGGTTGCGGCATGTTGCGGCTATATACATGAACACAATTTCTATTTTGGCGAGTGAACAGTGAACGGTGAACAGTCCCAACATCAAACCGGGTAATCTGCAAGCTGAATTATGATGCAAGCTGCACACAGTTGTGACAAGGGTGCCATGGTCTCATCTGCTTTCATGTGCTCAGAAGTTTGGACATTTGTTGGATATTCTTGATTCAATTGAGCCGGAACAGTATCTGGGCAGGGGGTGGGGCCTTTTGGTGCTCCAAAGGTCTGCTGCACAAGAGCAGTTCTCCGAAAACATCCGGTCCGAACCAATGGAACTGGTCCCTGGATGTCCTGGTCACCCACTTCGTGTAGGGATACACCAGAAATGTTTGGTTGAATATCACATGCACAGAACAAGGACATACGAGTACTTGGCTGATTTCACCAAGCATCTATACACACATACTGCATGGAGCTTAAAAAGAAAACACCACAGGCCATCCAAAACGGTGGCGTCCGCTTCAACCCCCCAACCCCCGATGCAACTCGAGGAGCGCCAATGTCCTGTAAGTCGACGGAACCAGCTTCCAGGAGACCCTTCACCAGGTCCTGCAGACGGTTTCGGTGCTACACCCGCCGTGAAAACGCCAAACGGTTCTTCGATGGTCTTTTTGCTTCAATTTGAGCGCTTTTCTTTGGCGAGAGAAGGATGGAGATCACAAATTCTGCAAATGCTGGGAGGACATTGTGAGAGTGCATTGTGACATCTGTGTGGCAAATTGACTGTTCCCCCAGAGAAAAAACAACACAGAATTCTGGGGGGGTGGTTCTTGTTCAAGATCATGAAATCCACAGCAGTTCCACCCAAACCGAGGTGTCAACCGATCTTCCCAGTCCTTCAAGGTCGGTCGTCGAACCCGGGGGATTCCGCGGATGAAGAGCGGATTCTGGGAGTTGAGAAGGAAAAACGACAAAGAGAGAGAGAGAGAGAAATACACATGGAAATCTATGGATTCCTGTGGGGCAAAACACGCAACAACTCATTGGAGCTCTGGAGTATAGGGAAGTGCCTGATCCTTCAAACACCTCAACTATCAACACATATCAAAACCACCACCGTCTTGCACGCGGAAAGAAATGAACAACGGTCCCTTTGTGCATGACTGTGCATGTCTATTTTCGGTCTTTCCCCCGTGGTGCCGTCGACACCTGCGGCGCTCCTTGACCTTCAAGGCCTCTGCGAAGTTGGCCTTCGACTCGCCCTCCAAATGTTCCTACGACGAGAGCTGCGAACCAGATCGCACAGGTCCGAGGCGGAATCCAGTGACCTCTTCAAGGACGATAGAAGCGACTGAAAATCCTGGGATCTACTTCGTTCGGTCACTTTGAAGGTGGAAAAGGTCGCCAAATTGGAGCATGCCCAGGCCGTACAAGCCTATAGCCTATATATAGCGCTTCCTATCGGGCCAATTTAGACCTATAGAAGCAGGGTGGGGGTTGTCCATTGCTGACCCCTTGGAAGCAGCTGGTAGTTGACTTTATCATTTATCTGAATCTCCGTTCATGGTCAAAATGCCAAATCTCGGTATTCATCGCTGCTGAAACGACGGATGGTGGTTCGCTCATCGTTTTCTGCTCCTCCACGTTGCTCTCCACGAACATGGCAGGACCTCGCTTGTCTTGTCGCGGTCTCGACGGACCCGGGTGACGTGGATTGGATCTGGGAACGTGAGGAACATGCCGGAACCGATCGAAACATGCATCACCATGTTCGAAGGGATGACTTGAAATGGATGGAAGGAAAGGATGGCTGTACATGGAATGTCCCTTGTAAACGCTCAAAGAGACTGCTTGCAGGAAAATGTTCGGAAAATTAATGTCACATTGTCTTTTGTCGAGACTGAACTTGGTGACACAACCCAAGAATTCTTATTCACTACACCATTCAGCGCCGCGCAGCCCGAAAATCCGGCCACAGTGATATGCAAGAGTACCAACCGCAACCAATCAACCAGCCAAGTTTTGAATTCTTCCCATTTCTTCCCTTTAGGATTGGATGATTTGACCAGGAAAAGGCAAAACCGGGGAGTCATGACCTCGGTGACTCCTCCATGGTCGAATGGTCGAATGACCAAGGCACATTCTGGGCCTGGCCAGGGCAAGCCCTTGACGCGGGGACGTTTCGAGGCATCCACACCATTCCTGAGGCTCTCTGAGCGCCGCGATGAGCGCGAGACTTCAGGGGCTCTGAGCATCGACCGAGCGAAGTGACCGGAACGGGCGCCCTCAAGCGACCCATAGGAATGAGATGACCGGATCGGGGGGGTGATGGTGTGACATGGACATGGCGCCATGAGTCCTTGTGGAGATGAGGAGACTCGTTGCTGCATGCAAGGATGGGGTCGATGAAGTGAAGATCCAAGCCGGACAGCTCAAGTGCCGGACAGCTCTGGCAGGTTCTTATCCCCTTTTTTGGAAGGGACTCCTTTCCATCTCCAGGGTGGACTTTCGATCCTGACAGTCTGACTGGGCCTTTAGCTGGGCCCTGATCACCCCTGCAATCAATCAAGCTGTCCTCTCTAATTGTTTGTCCATTCCTTTTCAAGCGACTCCGGAGCTAGAAGGTCCACCCGCTGGGCCCCTGAGCTTCCCAACTTCAATCGCCCCTGGTAGATGCAGGATGCGCTAAATTCCTCGGCACCACTCCGCATGATGAAAGGTATGATCCAAAGAGGCCCGAGGTTGAAGAACATCAACCATATCTTGGCCTTTGACTCATCATAGGGATCGATGAACAAGTAAAAGTGGATGAAGTTCCTTTTCAGGACAATTAATCTCCGCAGGCGCGGACCCAAACCGCCACAGCCCCTCAGAAGCCAATGGAACTCATAAGAGCTCAGAAACCAATACCTCCAGGCCAAGCAAAACTGCACCTGCACCCAATGGCCGCAAGGGCCTTCAATTCGAGCGGCCATTAGCATGGGATGTGCACGGTACTGTGTGTCCAGGAAGCAGTAGGGCACCTCGACCGGCATCGACATCTCATCGAAACGGCCAAAGAGATGGATGCAGAAGCTACTTACACTCAGACTCACTAACACCCGAACACCCCCCAAACCACCCCGATGTAGGCAAATTATGGCATACATGGAGTGTCCGGGACATGGATGTGGAAAACTCTTTGTGAGTGGGATGCTAATGGCGCTTGCAAACATGAATGATGTGAGGTCATGTTGACCTAATTGAGGATCATAATCATAATCTATAGGGCGCCGGGCGCAGCAGTTCCAAAGCTGTTGGGTTCTGAATCCCTGTTCAGCCACGCTTCAGCCAAACAAATGAATCTACCCCTTCCAGATCCGTCCATGCCAAACCGGAAAATGGACCCCAGTTTAGACCTGGACAAAATCCGGGATGGAGAGGAAGGTCAAAACACTCACCACCCCTGCCGACCCCTGCCGACCGCTGCGGTCCTTTTGCACCGCAGGCGCTACGCATGGTCTTGAAGACAGCTCCATCGACCAAGACCCGAGTCGTGCCCGGAAGAGCTCCAGCTTCCAGGATATGTCAACAAAGGGATGCTTCGGACCCATCTTGGGAAGGCTTGCCAAACCAGTTTGGAGGCGGAGGCCTGCTTCTACCAAATGCAGGACTAGCGACCACATGCGACCACACCTCCTGGACCACCAACCACCAACAGCGTTGACTCCGTCGATGCAGGTGACCTCCCGGGCCGGACACGGGCCGAGACGGCGACACCGCAAGAGGCGTGTCGAACGAACGTTGTGACACGTGCGCGAAGGAGCAGAGCTTGGGCATCTTCGGAAAACTGAATCGTAACTGAGATCCTTGATGATCCTGAATCGTGTGAATCGTGTGAATCCAGTCTGAATCGTGCTTAGATTGAAGTGACAAGTATAGAAATGCCCTTGGAGCACCACCGCCGTACGGCCCCTCCCAAACGGTTTCAAAACACGATTGGGAAGGACCAAACGGTCTCAAATGGCCTGGCGCGTCCGTCCGGGTGGCTCCACATGCCCTGACTGCACTCGTCTGTGCTTCGGTGTCACGGGGTGTGGCGGCCAAACACGGACGCCCCATGGGACGCCCCATGGGACTGGAGTAGATGCCTACATTTGTTCGCCCCAAACCTAAAAGAGAGGCAAACATGCGATACATGGCCAATCTGCAAAGGGAAAGCAATCATTACAAGCCTGAGACTGAGACAAACCTACCGCTTTTCTTATAATGGTATTAGGTGATGTGGGATTCGTCGTGACAACATCTCTGTCCTGCCAGTTGCGCGCTATGATTTGAGAGGAGCGTCTTCTGTTGAAGCTGGCTATAAAATCTCCAAATATCTCCGAATCTTTGCTTTGCAAAGCAGAGACGAAGTACAGCGTAGATTTCCTGCAAGTGTGGTAACTTAATCAGCAGTTGATCCTCGAGCTAAATCAAGTTATATACATTCATTCATGTCCTTAGAGTTCCTCTCCGGCCTCCAGCAAAAGTAAAGAGTGCAGGAAAGTCTATGGGAATCTATTGGCATGTACTGCTTGTGTCAAACGTTCCGCTGTCTGTCGGATGCGAAACTTCTGCAAACACAAAAAATTCTGTGGGAACAGAACACAGTCATGCAGTCCGGCCTGTCTGGCAGAAACTGTATACATGGGTGTGTAGCTCAAATAGGCAGACCGACACCTTCGGCGTTCCGACTCTGGCTCTCTGGCTCTCTGGGTTCGGTTCCTGAAAATCGACCAGTCTACCCAGGTGAGGGTCGGGGCGAGAAAAAGGATCTCCCGGTCCCGGATTTCAACGTGACTGCGAATTCGAGTGTTTCGTCCTTCGATCTGAACAACCCTCAACCCACCTGGAGGTGCATGAACTTGATGATCCGTGTGAATCATGTGATCAATTGTGATCACAAAACAAACAAACGCATTAAGACTCCCCCAAAGGTTTGGGTGTTCTTCGTTTCCAGGGAAAGACAAACATCTGCCCACTTCCAGCATCAAGTATCAGGGCCGTCCCCAGTTTCACAGGATGATGCGCTTGTTGGGTAGGACCACAGGGACGTGTCGTGACTCAATCATGACTGGCCCTGTGGTTAACAGAAGCCAATGGCGCCACGCAGGCACATGACATGTGATCTGTCCCATCTGTTTCCACTCACAGGTCAATAATCCTCACCTTGGATTTGCTTCAGGGAACACATGAAAAAGAACACAACGCAGTAATCGAAAAGTATTCCCCAGAAGGGGATGTACATGTATTTACAATGATTTACCCATGGGGAAATCCAAAATCACTCGATCTGCAAAACCAGGTCACAGGTTCCTGCAACAAAGCTTCCAAAGACTTCACCGTCGCCTCCCCCGTGGAGCCGAAAAACGCCGTCTCCTCCCCCGTTGGTGCTGCGGCCCTCGGTCAACGGTGACGAGAGTGTGATGACGTTGGTGGGAAGAAACAAGCCCTAGGGCTGCTAGGGCTCCAGTCGTACCTTCTCAGAAGGTGGGACTGGGGTGGGTGCCAGGAGGGTCCAGTCCTGCCTTCTGAGGAGGCACTTGGAGCCCTAGGGAGGAGATGCCACTCAAGGATTTGTCATGAATTCAATGTTTTGGTGTGCGAGTGGATGGAGGCTTGTGTGGACTGGAAGCGGACATCAGTGGTCCATCGTTCAGGGGACTGTGATTGAACACTGAGAAATTCTGACCGTCTGCAGATTGACACCAGTCCCATCGATAGATCAAAAGACTCTTCGGAAGGAGATGTGAACATGCTTTTCGGAAACTGGAAAAGGAAGAAATGGTCAACCCCTCTTTTCCAAGAACCAAGGAGACCTATTGAATCTCCCTAAAAAGACCTGCAAATCATTGCAAATCAGCAGTGTTTACTATTTCTATATGCTTTGGACTGTGTTGGATGAAAATACGAGTAACTGGAAAAAACACTGCCAAGGGGTTCCTGCTCACGGGGTCCTGCTCACGCGGCGGCGCTCGCGATGCTCGCCCAAGAAGCACGGCACGATCTGTACTCGAGCGCTGCGATGGATCTACTGTGGAGTGATCGGAGGACCTCAAAGAGGTGGAGCTCATTGATGCTGACGTGGAGCAAACAGAGGTTTTCCGCAGCAGCTCCACAATTTCAGCGTGCGAGCCCTCCTTGAGAGGGACTGAGCGGTGTGAGGACAGAGGTGACAGAAGAGGGTTCTAGTTGACATATTATGATATGAATATGGGTTTGATGATCATTTCTTTGACATCTCTAGATCCACCCCAAACTCCTTATTGACGACTTCTGTCCTGTCGAGCGCCTCCGCGACAAAACATCCCTACTCTGGCCGCGCAATTAGGGGAGCAAAGGATGGCAAAGACCCAAAGTCACGGGCAAACCAGGAAACCTTGACCAGGTCACAGGTAATTTAAACATTGGTTCCTAGAAGGGCTCCCCTCGACCGTGGTTCTTGGTGACCCATCACCACAAAAGGGCCTCAAACAAAAAATCCAAAGAGAAATCTTTCCTCCGGACCGTTTCCAGTGGAACATTCCAACACCGAAACGTGGCCAACAGAAACATCAAGGCGCAAGGATTCCTTCTCTCCAAGAGACCTTCAACAAGGCTACATCAACAAGTTGAAGTTTGCACAGGCAACAAGAAGGACACCGCTCCAAATCCAGTTTTTCAGGGTAGTGACACCCAACCATAAGGGCATCGAACGTGAAAATACATATTTAGAAGACACATCCTACCCAAACCTGGTCATCGACTTTCTTCTTTACCTATAGCTGCTAAGGCCATAATGTGTTCATCATTTGTGTTTGGGCAGTCTGAGCGCTTTTGATTTCTTATGGAACTCCAGGTTTCTCACCGATCTGGAAGAAACCTAAGTCTTGCCACTCCCCTTAATTTCCACGACTGGATCTTCAAAAGCCACGGAAGGTTGCTTTTTCCATGCCTGACATTCGCTGATATTCCACAATCACATACAGCCACTATCTTCACCCAAACCATGATAAGCCATCAACGTATGGCTTGTATATGCCTACTACCATTGACCCCTTTTCAACATGTTGGCCAATCTTCCGTAGCCTGGATGTTTTTCTTCATGTTCAACGCTCCAGATGGGTGGGAGTGGCCTTCCCATCCTCTCCTTGTCAGCCTCCTTGGCTAACTCCAACGCCAAACGCCCCCGAGACGTGCGTTGGCACCGGTCCACACCGGCGGCCAGCAAAAGCATCCTCAGACTCACGGACTCACGTTAGAACTCACGAACGGACCCGCGGTGTGTTTCGCGGTCCAAAACAAGGTCTCTAGTGAACTCAGTCCAAACAGCGGCTGAGGATATAGGTTAGTTAAGTCCAGTGGAGGATGTGACTGGGACATTCGGAACATACTCTGATGGTGACATTGGGTGTTAGAAAGTGGCAGGGATCCCAAGTTTGACCCAAGGTCAGCAAATTGGTTTCTGTAACAATCCTGTGTAAGGATGTGTAAGATTGCAGCTGGAACACCTCTGGTTGCTCCAATTGAAAACAAGAAACTCTGGTGGAACCCCGCTGGTGGTCCTGAATCCCATTGGTCCCGCATCAGCACCTATGCCTATGGCATCATGAGACACCTAGCTCTATCTGCCAGAGTCATACAAACCGTCTTTGGATCCCTTTGGTCCACAGGCGTGCGAACGTCTCTGCGCCGCCCGTGCCTGGGGCCCAGGTCACTGGTGACCTCCCTGAATTCCAAGAGTCACAATGTGTTGATCCCCACGCTTTGCAGCAAGGTGGATCGGATAAAGGGTCTCTTCCTCGGTGTTCAGTCGCAACCTTTTGGAAGGAAAACAGGTCGACCGCACAGGTTGAGACACACAAGATAGCGTACAGCACACCATGAATTAGTATACAGGATGAATGCAGGGTATACCACTTGTCTTTGAATGTTCAGCGCAAAAGTGGATCGAAATCCTGAAAAGTCCGACTGGGCCGAAGCTGATCATGCGGCCAAAGGAACAAATCAAATCACTTCTGCTTGACACGATGAAAAGCACTGCTGTTTCTTGTTTTAGAAACTGCTCCAGGAAATACCTGCAGCCGTCTCAATCCAAACAAAAGAACCTAGCAGTATGCTGTAGTGGATTACGGAAAGGAGGATCAAAAGCCTGTAGACCCCAAACAACTATATGTTGTGTATTACGTATGCAAGTAACATATCAAACATGATTAATTGGGACGGGGCAATGGCCCTGTCTTTTAGATTTGAATCAGAGCATCCCTGGAAAACCACGAGCTCCGTCTGGGCTGATTCAGGTCTGGGAACTTCTGCTCCTGCGATGCAGGTCTCGTTGGTCGCAAGACACAGGTCTCCGCTGTTACGTAAGACACAGCGATCTTCCCCAGAAATAATCATGGTCAATGGTATGTATTCGGGTCCTCCGACAGTAAACCGACCATCCAATTCACAATGGTTGCGAAATCAGATTTCTTCAACCCGGAACTTTCAACACATATCCGACATATCCACTGCGCTTGGCACAGGGAATTCAACGAGGCCATATGCGACGAGGCCATATGCCAATGCTAAGACTTCCCGGAGCCGGAGCCCTGTGAAGAGACCTAAAAAGCAGCACCTGTCAGTGACACTGTCACCAAACTAAAGCCAAACTTCTAGAACAACTCCCAAACACTCTCACGGAAACCATCCCAGGGATCCCGAATGAATGTAGTATTATTTAAGTCAGTCCCATTAGTTGTGTTTGGGGCTGGCAGCTGTGTGCTGCTTCATCCACAGTATCCAACTCCATGCAATCTTACTCCCTCAGTGTTCCTGGAAAATACATGAGGTTAAACCTTTTTCTACCTGTTCATGTTAACTGGCGAAACATGGGAAACCAATCCCCCAAAAAAGCCCACTTGCAGGTTGCCCACTTGAAACATGGTCGGTGATGTCAGTCAGCCTCACTGACTCCCGGCCTCCCGGCCTCCTTCACCCAAGGTCGCTTGCTTGTGTTCAATCTCCACACCATGTCCCATCTCGAAACTGGAAACTCCTGTCTTCGGACCACGTGAACCACTCTCTTTCTCAAGCCGCACACGACCCGGGTGTTCTTCGTTGACTTAGACCCGCTCCAAACGACCAACCCACCAACGATCTCCGAGCACCGCACGAAACGCGGGGCGCGTCGCCTGCAACCACTGCTCTAACTGTGCATGGCGGGCCAGTGCAGAACTCCGCCTCACGGAGTCGATCGTATCCGTGGTGGCCTGAGTCGTTCGCTGATCTCCCCAAAGACCATCTACATGGGACGGCTTCTATATGCCACCCCAGTGAACCCCAACTGATACGCAAAGATGTGCACATATGGAGTGATCTGGGTTTGGAACTGGGCGCGTGAGACCCGGATCACCATGGTTGTGCCCGCGCCCGGCGGGTGGCAAGTCGAATCTATAGAATGCTTTGGATTGGCTAATGATTCAATCTGGAGGTTTTCTGGCATGCAGCATGCTGGAGGAGCACTTGACACTGAAAGAAAAACACCCCTAAGCAGCTAAGCAGCTAATCCTGCAAAATGCCACGGAAAGAAATAAAAACCACCAACAACACCTACTGGAAAAGCAAAACCAAAGTCGCCAGCACTTAAAGGACACATGCCTTAAGAAGTCAAACTTACCGTTTGACTTACCTGCCCATGTTTTTTGTCAAGGATATCCACTTCCTCACAATATGTGCTCAAACAGTGGCTGAAACTCTCGGGGGAGCCCAAAATCTCAAAACCCCAAAAGTACGGGAGCAAAGTCCGTGCGATGCAAGGCTGGGGCTTTGAGACGTTACAGCCTCTCCACCAAATCCACCCCTATACTATACGTTCACCCAGAAATGAAACCGATTCCCTTGGCCAAAAAGCCCATGTCATTACGTGACCCATCGCAAGCGTAATGCGTATTTCCTCGGAATCCGTATTTGCTTCACTGTCAAAACATTATATACCAGCACCACCCAAAAGGGGTGTTATTAGATGGAAAATACATCTTCGGGGGGGTTTACAAACCACCCTTTGGATCCCTTTGGGTCGTGCTGGTATATTAACTTATATAAATTAAGGTGTTCAATGCAGATTCACCTGGTGGGTGCAGGCGGCTGGGGAGTGAAAAGTGTTTGGTTTTGACCTCTGCCACAATTGACAAGCTACTTGAGTGGCGACGGTGGCCACAGTGCCCACAGTGCCCACAGTGCCGACAGTGCCGACACTGGCCTTGCTCTGCATACTTCCTCCAGTTCGGTACACCGCAGTGACCAAAGCCGTTGGACCAAACGGTTCAGAAAGTGACACCCCCGGGATGCACCCAAAGCTTTGACACTCTAAAGATCCAAGAGACTGTATGTAAGGACCAACATTCCTAGATAATGCAAGTAGCTTTCGGACAGACTTAAGAAGGAATAGCATCAATGTGAAGCACTGAGCATTTCTCCGTCTGTTTCTGTGGGGTGCCCATGGCATGTGTCTTCTTCCAGGACAAAAAACATGCGCATACATGAACATGGCTATACATGGCTACTAGCTGTTACGGTTACTGAACTACAAGGAAAACTAGACCGCAAAATACAGTTGCATTTTGTAGACCGCCTCGCCATCTGGCAAAAACATGTCGCCCATCATGCTCCTCGTAAATTCCCTGAGCTTGACTTCTCCAAGCGCCGGCGTTCGTCGCGGCTCTCGTCCCAAAGCCTGGGTCGCTGTCTATCTTCGACTCGTTTTTGGATGGACATGAACGCCGGCGGAGTCGGCGTTCAGGGAGTCGCAAAGAAGTCTGAGAAGTACCACTGACCCAGTGAATCCAGCGTGCACAAAGTATCCAGTGGTTGGACGGATTAGTGAGAGGTCGTCCTGTGGACTGCTGAAACATGTCCTCACCGGTCACCTCCGGATCTGTGCTTCTCCGGTCCCCAAAGACTTGGCAACAGATTCCAGGACAAGCGATCAATATGATCAATACCTTTCGATTGGAGGGTCGTATTTCCATCATTCATTGGCTTTTGGACTCGGTTGCACTAATTGAATCCAACCCTCAAAAGAGGTCCGGCTGCTCTGTCCAGCTGTCCAGCCCAGGGACATGCTACTCACTGATGATCGCATGTTGCTCAAGGACGTTCTCATCAAAATCGAGGGCCTCCTGGGGTGGCCACCCGGCAGGTAAAAGCGGAGCAAATTCTCAAAGGCTTTGAGGGGCAAAGTGGACCAAGAGTAGGCGGGTCCTCATTAGGTGTGGGTGTATCCTCTGTCAAGATAGGTTGCCAAGTTGCCAAACATGTTTAATAGCATTATATAGCCACAATTGATTCCAATTCACAAAAAGAAAACATCACGGCCCTTTCCTTCTTGACCCTGATGGATCAACAACAGGAACTTTGTTTCTCGTTGTTTCTCTCTCTCTCTCTCTCTCTCTCTTTCTCTCACAGGTTGTTGACGGTTTCGTTCACGTCCAGACTCCTGGTTGGCTCTAGTGCTCCTTCCACTTTACGAAGTAAGATCGTGGTATCGAAGAGATTGCCGAGGAAATATTGTGATCAGGAACCATTATCCTATCAAGGAAGTAAGGCTGAGACCTCTTAGATGGTCTCTAAATCTCGCCCAGAAACCAGGAAACTCTGAATGGACTGGACAAAACTACATAAACCTGAAGCCATGAAGAAGCCTCTTCCAACTCAGATCCCCGCTCAAGTTGCGGTTGCAACAGACCAAGTTCCTCAAACTGCTATAGAAAATAGCAGGCCCACGCATGCTGAGGATTCGTTGTTTGAGCAGCAGTTAATGCGTGAATCTCTTCTGATAAATAACATCTCTTGTATTCTCTTGCAAGGTCTAAAGCACTAACTAACGACATTAACAGCGACGCTGGAACCACCCAGCCAGTTGTAGTTATTTCCCATTATTTCCCCCTTACGAAAGCTCCTTCGGTGTGGCTTCCGTGGATGACGGATGGCATTGGACTGTGGGGACTGCCCACAACACACACACACACACTCCAGGTGCGTGGTCCATTTAAGTTGATGAAATTGGACACCAAACAATCCCACCCGATGGGTGGCGCCCAGTTTCCGACGGGTGCGGCGCCTCGGCCAGGCCTGTTCAGCCTCTCCGCTGGACCTCTCGTTTGAGATCCAGCGAGCGCATCTCATGAGCCCAAACGGCGACGTGCGGTGCATGTCTCACCGTCCAAAGACTCTAAGTCTATATATTATATATATATATTATATATTATATATATATGATATTATATTATACTATATATATTATATTTGCTACTAGTAGCTCCTGGCATTACTATACTATAGGAACAAAATGCTACTACGTAGATCTACTAGTAACAAAGGGCATCGCTACGAAAGTAGCAAGAAGCCAGAATTGAATGTCTCCGTCTTTGGATCCGAGTCTTCAGAACGCGAGGCCACTCGACAAAGGTCGCGACACTTGAGTTGCTCCGACCCGATCGCCTGGTTCGTCGGATCATGTTCCGGAACCGACCATCGCTACTAGCCACCTTCGATACCACGGAGCCTGGTCCCAGGCTTTCCCAGCACTAAAACATGTGACTGGGAGGTGCTCATCGCGTTCACGTTCACCACCGCCCTTCAAACCGGTTCATTGAATGATGGGTCGATGATCCTGAACATGACCTGCTCGATGAATCACAGCCCCCCTTAGCTCAGCACGCCAGCACCAGTCAGGCGTGAGTAGAGCGACAACGTGTAGCCTGACCAGCGGGTTCTCCGGTTGTGAAGTGAATGCACAGCTCGGGTCCTTAAGCTGGGAACGGACGTGGAGAAGAGAACATGCAAGTTGGTAGCCTATAGGCACTAGCAAGTTGGTAGAGCGTGGCATGTCCTCCAAACTTGTATGTTTGGTATACTTTTGGTGAGATACATGTATTTTCGATGGTTGGAAGCTAGGCTGCTAGATGCTCCGATTCCTCAAGAGACATGTGAGTCACTTGGGAAGAACAATAGGAAGTTCAATTGATCAAAACGGATTCCGTTCAGCCTGAGTGAAACTCTCCAAATTAATTTAAAGTGAACAATGCATACTCCACACCACATCGATCAAGAGATGTCTGCAGATTCTAGATAGCGATCTGTGTACGTGTCCTGACAGACAGAATGCACATGATAACGAATCTAGGTCACTGCAATGTTTACATCATGTTATATTACTATATCAATAATGCTACAAGTAAGATATGTTAAGTTACAGTAACATTTAAGAAGGCTTCCACCCCACACCTGGTTCGAATGGAAGGAATCATTGATTCATCTTCGCGTCCGACATATTCCTTCTTCCTACAAGGAGCAAGAAGCTACTAGGAGCAAAGGGCATTGCTACTAGGAGCAAGGACGCTACGAACGTAGCTCCTGGCCTTACTACTGGACAAACAAACCAACTCCTCACGTCGTTCCATCCCGCCTCGGAGCTCCGCTTCGCGCGAGATCACCGAGGGGGGCAGCTGGCAGTGATCGCCGCCTCGGTCTTACGGTGCGGAGAGCCTTCCGGTCGCCGGTAGCATTCAGTGAATGATCGGCCTCTTTGGGGGGGTCCAAAGGATCACTTGATAACCTGATAACGATGTGGTGAGGTGCCGGGGCGGCCGGGGGGGCATCCCAAAAAGCCGTCCCGGACTGGCGGTGAAAATGGAGGGATTTTGTTGAACTTGGCTTCAAAAGAGTGTGAGGGCGGTCAAAGGGAGCATGGCCACACATGGAGAACTTCAATCTCAACCTAGTAGGTTTGACCAAGCTTGAAGTCAGGTTGCAACTCCACGATCTGAAAACCGGTTGGCAAAGCTGATCCCCCCCCCCGAGTTGGCCAAATCAGATTCTTTGGCGTCGAGCGCTTTGGAGATCGGTTTGTCCTGGTTCGTTCATCCACCCGTTGAGCTGGGTACAGATTAGCCAAAGCCAAAGCCTTCTGGCCCTTCAGAGTGCCCGATCAGTCTCCAAGCACAAAAAGTCTAGAAAAATTGATGCAAAGCGGCCCAGTCTGTACAAAACAAAAACCCTATTGGTGTTTAATCGGTTTCATTGTTGGAACGACCAATGAGGTTCACAATGTCATCACAATCCGTCTCCTTCGCAAACTTCAGCATTGACAGGTTCACATGCTCATGACCGTCGAGCACTTTCACTCTAGTAGAAGCAAAAGCTTGACAGAACTCGCCATGAAGCTCATTCACTATTGCATTGCTGTTGTGCATAATACGGAGCTTGAACAGAATATGTTCAAAGTCTTCTACTTCAAAGTTGAAGCGCGGTCTCGCTGGTCGTGTGAACTGTCGCATGCTGACCACTACAGTGATGCCATCCACTAGCTGTTCCTCTATGACCCATCTTACCGCTGGCAGGCCACGAAAGGAGAATGCAGCACAAAGACAAATCAAAATGCTGATAGGTGCTCCAACTTCCAGCACTTTGCAAACACGTTGATACCAGCGCGAGGTATGAGTTTGCCACAGGAACTTCAGATACCTCCCTGAGCCCATTGGTGTTGACAGTGGAATCTTCATACAAAACATGATTACTGTGCTGAACCAAAGCCCGGCGACAATGACCAAATTGAAGTAGTGAATCACCACTGGAACCAAAGCTGCTGGGTGCACACCGATGTGTCCAGCAGTGCCATACTCTGCTGTCAATGACCCCAGGTTCTTGGGACTCCACATAAATTCCGTGTAGAAAGCCTTGCGAGACTGTGGACTGAGACCCATGGCACAAGACTCGCACTCTCCACCATATGAATGACGAGCCATCTCAACCATGCTTTCGCGGAGAAAGCTGTAGAGAGCAAACTGAAAAAAGTGGGAGCATGATAAGCTCAATGAAGATGAGGTGCAACAAAGCCGGGAAGTAGAAAGATGCCTTTAGATCAGCCAGGACCCACGAAGCTGCTGCCCTGGCTGCCAGGACCACAAACATACTCCTATCTAGAATCTAGCTAGCCAGAAGAACCTGGCAAAAAATATCTAAGAAAGAGCCGCAATAGCTACCGCAGAATCCAGAAGCGGATCAAACAGTTCAGTTTGCCATTGAAGAAGATTGTTTCATCAGAAGGGCACGCTGGATTTCCTTCGAAGCATCCTTATTGCAATTCCAGGACTGCAAACACCATCAAAAACTCCAAGTGTAGATATTTTGATGATAGATAATATGATGATTGATCATGATTCTGAAAATCCTGAAAACGAAGTTTCATCTGATGGGTGTTGATGTTTTAACCTCTCATGAATTTAACTTTGAAGTGCTCAGTGGTCTGTGACTGCAGGGCTCCCTGCACAAGACCAGCTGCCGGGCGCCGCGGCAAACCACCGGGACGATACCTGGGTGGCCAGGCTGGGGTCTGCCAGTGGTCCGTGCAAGTGGTCCATTAGTTGGAGCTTCCCGCTTTCTGAAAACTGGGTTCCTGATTGAACCTATCAGAGTTAGCAATTGAACTATCAGAGTTGGTGTCTTTGTGGTTCCAAAGATCAGTTTCCTTCATTCAAAACACCTGCATCTTACATCAGCTTCACACTCTTTGAGGGATGATTCTCTCAGCTCGCCTGCATAAGTCTTCCATCTCGGGCTGAGAAAAGGGCCCTTGGACCACTTGGACGAAAGAAAGTGCCTTCTGCGACCGATCAGTGAGAAGGTCATACATAAGTCCTCCACCTCACGCTGAGATACTCCGTGTGCCGGAGACCACGGGAGGACCCGTGCCAATGCTTCTGACCATGTTTTGGAAGGCGCTTGGGAGGTGCTTGTAAAATCGAAGTGAGGTCTGTCCTACCTGTCTTGCGAGCTCTGGCGATGTCGCGCGCGCAGAAAGAATGACGCGCATGCATCTACAGTATATATATATATATAGATGCTCAAACATCGGCCATGGTTTGGCTCGGAAATCTGATCCCAAACACCCCCAAACACTCCATATCTTGTCATGATACAAAATGGTATATGTATCAATGTGCCTACAGTGACCCCAAGTCTGGATGTAATGAGGTTCTTTTCCGTCCTTTCTCCACGTTCTTTCGGCCTCCTCTTTCTCCCTGGCCAGGTGCAGGAGGTCTCGGTGGCCTGTGCCACCTCGTCGATCAACACGCCGTGGAAGTCAAAACCCGCCAACTGACCCTCGCCGCTTCGACCGGCCGTTTCGATGGGTCACACGGGGGGGGAGCTCCTCGTCTGGAAGAGTCCTCTTTTTCCATCTCAAGTGAGAGGTGAATGAATACATATGCTACTAGTGTCAGGTGCATCGCTAGTAGTAACAGGTGCCTTACTACTAGTAACAAGAAGCTAGCAGTAACAAGTGCCAGAATATACGGTGTGAAGATATGTTTTACTGTTTACAGGTTCAACGATGTGAGAGTGGAATGTTGTTTTGGACGGGTTTCAGTCAGTCTCTGCTTTGGAGGCAAAACAAGTGAGCCAATATCATTGCCGATTGGAATCACCCTGTGGATGCCTGAGGACAACATCCCCTGAAATCCCAAATACAAAATGTCAGCCATGTTCCACAATGGTTGCCATTTGTCATCCATTCTGCTGGGGTGCCTGTTGCAATGGAACACTGCTCAAACAACTTGTTGCATGACCTAATACTGTACATCAGCTGGTTTGAAAGATCATATCATATACAGTAAGAATATATATAAGAGGCGAATGCCGGAGCATCAGCTAGTTGATGCTAGTTGCAAGAGGGTGTGAAACTAAGCTAGCTGCTACGGCATGCTATGGCATGCTACAATGCTATAGCTATAGCATGCTATAGCTAGTTTGGTCCATGTCCAAGCAACATCAGCAAACCTATAGAAGTTCTCCTTACCAGTCTCCACCAACATCCCCAGGTCCCCCAGCGGATCCGCAAGCGATGGTTGTTGCCTCGGCTCTGGCAACGCATGCGGTGTGGGCGGCTTTGAAGGTCGGTGAAAAAAGACCGTGGGAAACCAACAACCAAACATCTCTTCTTCAAGCCCCACATAGCACCCATTTCGAGTGCTTGTTGATCTGATTGGATGGAAAATACCGTCCGGGGGCGGTCTATAGACCACCCGAACCTTCTAGCTTCCCTGCTAGGCCCCGGTGTGAACTCCTCAAAGGCCCACGAGGTCAAACAACAAACTACCTTAAGACCCAAGATTCATTTCCCAAGCAAAGTTGGATACCTGGATTGAGTAGTGGTGAGACAAACATTGTAGTTGAAGGTTCATTCCTCAAAGAAACCCGGTAAATCAATGCATGTCAACTGTATTTGGTCTCATCGTCCCAAACATCCAGCGAAGTTCCACTTTTAGGCCTCGACTCATCGGCGATCCATCCGAGTTTTCTCCCTCCGAGTCACACAGATCACCTCGGCCTCATTGAGGACCTTCTGCTTCAGAAGCCTTGTGTTTCAAGGTCGGTGAACGGAAGGTGGTGGCTGTGTGAGAGAAAGTCGTGGAAATCTGCATGAATCTGCTCTGCCACATCTTGCTTGCGATGGTGATGGTGATGGTGGTTTCTGGAGACTCCGAGTCACAGCCCAAGGGTGATCCATCATGAGAAGCTCGGATCTAAAACAAGTCAGCTCTCAAAACCTATGGCATCTGCCTATGTCAGGGAGGTTTATAGAGTGGCTCCAGTGTCATTTGGCAGTGCCAATATCAATCCTTCTCAACAACTTGTTTCTTGGACTTTGACCAAAAGATACCAAAAACAATTTTGTGGCCTCATTTTGGCGGCTTCGGCGCAACGTTAACGCGTAGCCAGGCACCATCTTCCGTGCAACCCACAACTTCCATATAATTCATATAATCCAGTCGGAAAATCTATACCGAAAACATCCAAAAACCCCTTGGTCCATGGACTGTCCTGAAAATATGGGAAACCATGGAAGACCATTTGCAAAGAGGTTCGAGGGTTTCCGGAATATGGCGGAATAGGGTCCATGTTGCACCCCTAAAAGCTTCCATGTTGATCTCGAAGTGAGCGCGAAAAGGTCCTAGTAGATTCCTTTGCTAGTAATTACAATTCTAAATTCTAATTATATAAATACTATTGTTACTTACTAGTAAGGCACTTGTTTCTAATAGCTTCTTGTTACTACTAGTAAGGCACCTTGCTCCTAGTAGCGATGCACTTGTTCCTAGTAGCTTATCCGTGCAGTCATTTTTGATATATCCTTCATCATCATGCTGTAGGGCTACGGGTCACGACACATCTTGAAACAGGCATCTGTTCCTTGTTGTTTTGCTGATCGCAAATCATATACAGTACCATAATAGGATACCGGGAGTTCCTCCATCCTCCAGATCCGTTTCTGCCTTGCTTCTCTTCGTTTCTGCCAAGCCGCTGATACTGCTTCCGAGCCCAGGCACGCTTCTTGATGACAGCATCCTGCCCAGCCCAGGGACGACTGACGTTCTGACCCTGCATGACCCGGCCCTGTGTTTCGGCAGGATCACTTGAACTGATGGGCGTTCTGACTCAAAGAAACCGGACAACATGGTCAGGTCTCAGTGTCATGTTGCTTTCCCACAAGTCGCTTTAATTCCTTGGCTCGAAACAATGGCGTGTCACTGATCTTCATTGTATGCAGTTCAGTGTTCATCGATTTTCACGACGCTCATCTAGTTCAGATTCTTCGTTGCACGAACCTGGTCGGAAACTGCCAGCTCGCTCTTCCATCTATGTGTCTCAATCACCCAACGAGCCGAGCTGCATCTGCCATCTCTTCACGTCATCGCCATATCTCTTCAGTCCATGTGTTCAAAAGAATCGGTCCTTCTTCAGCCGCCAGGCTTGCCATTCCTTCTTCCACTTTTCCGTACTGTAGTCCGCACTCTGCCAGCTGGGCTCCTCACCGGGGTCCTGTCGAGGACGTCCCAACAACGCGGGACCCGCCGGTGGTGGTGGAGAAGAAGTTCGCTGCTTCCAGCGACAGCGGTCCACATTGGGTTGTTTATCCTGCTGGAAGATGCTGGAAGGTCTGAGAAAGGTGGTGAGATGCTGGAAGGTCTCCGTTCGCTGGAGGGCCGAAGTGTCTGATGGAGGTAAGTCAAATATGTTCCCAGGTATTCAGTATCAAGCAGTCACAAACTCTGGCTCTCTCTGGGGTGGATGAACGCCACAGAATGCAATGTCCAAACCCCCCCTTTTCTTGTAGAAAGACTACCATGTTTTGTTGACTCCACGAGGCCATCGTCAAGAGCCACGAGGACAATCAATACAATAGAAGTCCCAAAAGTTGGTAGCTAAGTTGATTGCCTTGATGACAAAGAGTTGGCTTTTTCTGTGTGTTTGAGATGCTTGAGGCTTGAGGATTGGCAAAAATTGACAATTGGTCAGCCGGACCTTTCCATCTGCGCTCCTCCACCCACTCTTCATCCTCGTAATCGCCTTGGCGTTCCTCAGTTGCGACCAAATACCCCAAAAAGCATCAAAAAGCATCAAAAAACATGATCTGAAAACCGTGTGTCGCATGTCTCCGTCAGGTGCTTATACAGCATCAAACAGCCTGTCTTAATGAAAGTGTCTTAGACGAACGTTCAAATGTGCATGGATGTTTCAACAATACAAATTGGACAACCAAAGCCGAAACCCAAGCAGCGCCAAACCGAAGCGAAACCAGATTGTTTCAACTATGAATGCGTACACAATGCTTGATGGGATTTTGAGTCATCCAAACGGTCTGGCCACTTGGCCAGGAGCCAAATGTTCTTGCAAGGGGCTCAAGTTCACATCGCAAAGCTTCAATTGCGCCCAGTGGAAACAGCTTTTTTTGCTAAACCCATGGATGGTCCCAGTTGCTTTTTGGAGCCAAAACCAATGGACGCTAACTTCGTGCTCTTCGCTTTGCTTCGGCACAGAATCTGAAAAAGAAACGTGCTCCGCCTACCAGCAGTTCCAAAAAGGTTCCGAACTTGGAGGATAGGGATGCACCACTGGGTGCCCCTGATCCACTCGCTGGATGGGACTAAAACCTTTCCTTTGGTTACTGTAGACATCAGTCCTAGCCGGCTCAAATCCCAAAGACTGTATATTGGAAACCCTTCTACACAAGCTACTGATTTGGGGTGATTTGAGCTAAGACAGCTACAGTAACAAACTGCTTCGATGGATCATACAACACCATTCAAAAACCCCATTCCTTGACGATCCCCCATCATCTCCGCCTCTTCGCTCCCTCCCGAGGATCCACCTCCGCACGTTGTTGGCGCACCAAGTTCTCCAGGATGGCCTGGGGCGGTTGAGATTTCAACTCGGCAAAAAGGCCCATGCAGCGCCGCGCATGCAGAATTCTTGGTCGGTTGATGATGTCATGGACGGCTGGAAAACTCTCCTTCCTGGACTTGCTTGCTGGTTGTCATGTTGGTCCAAGATCTCCATAGTGATTCCATGAGATTCCCATCCTCTTATGGCCACATGCCTATATTATGCCAATATGGCCCAGGGCAACATGCCCACCAGTGTTCTCATTGCTCATTACGCCTCTTCCAAGCGAGCGTTGACCTTCTCCACATGGCCGATCCGAACCACCTTAATGCCATTCCTTAGGTTGTGAGGATCAAAGGGCTTCGTAAGAATGATTCCGGAAGTTCTATCGACGAGCTTGGCCCAAAGGGCAGTGGAGTTCTGCGAGAAAAAAGTTAGCTCTGTGGTCTTTTACCTGTCTTTGAATCGTTCAATATCGAGATTCTTGGAGGGGAAGGAGTGATGATCGGGAACGGGGGTTGATGCGGGTCGGGTTGGTCGATGGTTGATTGGTAGTTGCTCAACTCATCCAATCGAAGCTATGCTCCTCGCCTCTACCTTCCAAGAAAAGGAAGGTGTGTATTCTACCCAACCAATGAATACCAACCTATAGCTGGTCATGTTGCACTAAATGTGCTGGAGAAAACCATTGCATCCGTGGCATCCTCTTCTTCCAAGCTGCGCGACTAATCCCTCCGCGATGTTGTCGACCGCCACGTTGCATTCGGAGGTGGCCAACAGGGGCTTGTAGCCCATGGTCTTGACCTCACTGACAGTGGTGGAACGTCTAAGTGATGTGGGCTTGCTGAAAACAAGCAAAAAAACAGAAACAATATCCAAACATATCCAAAGAAACTATCAAAAACTGCCAAACAAAGAAACACCATAAAACAAACTACCTTTGGTATCCTTTGGTCCCTCAAATCCTACGGATTTGAGACCCCAAACCAAACCTTCCATATTATGAGGGTCCGATCCTTCGATCGAGGGTCCATAAGTGTGTGGCAAACACAAACGTGTACCTTTCACCGTTCCAGCGGGTGTGCGCACATGTTGGTGTGTTCTTCCCCTCATAAACATATATAATAGTTATGTAATTGCAGGAGTCAATTAAAATAATCAAAGAGCCAACTCGTGTATTGCTCCAACCAAAGTGGTTCTTCACGCATACCCTATTGGCCCCGACTGACATGGTGCTGGCAAGAAGGCTGATCACTCCTCACATGTATTTGTGTTTATTATGTTTGTGTGTGTGTGTGTCGGGATGCTTAATAAGTGATGCTTGCAGTCGCTTCAAGACCGTGCATAGAAGGTCAAGGACACTCCAAGGAACACTCATCACACTACTAGCCTGCCTTATTTTTCACCATATATATATATAACTATCTCAACCATTTGAGAAGACAAATGACTGATGCGAAATCATATATATATATATATTTTTCACCATATATATATATATATAACACTATCTCAACCATTTGAGAAGACAAATGACTGATGCGAAATCATATCAAAACGTGACCATCCTCAGCCTCAGCTCAACTCTTTCGGTCTAACGTTCAAATCGTAAGCTATTTCCTGACAGAGTTTGTCCACCACAGGAAACCACTCTGAGAATGAGAGAGTGGAAACAAAAAGGCCACCCTGGTAAGCTTTCTTTTAGGTTTTTCCACGTCTGTAATTACCCAGGTCAGGACACCACCGCTTGTCACCCGATAAAACAAAGCCAATACCTTGCAAGGACCCGCTAGAAACCATGCTTCTTTCGCTTGTAACTCGAAGCCCCTTTCATCCTTCCTTCGCCCACCAGGCCAAGATCCTTCCATCCACCAGGCGAACGACGTTTTCTGCGAACGAAGCCAAGAGACCCAAGTGCTCAAAATCCGAACCTGAAAAGACGCCCCCCCCGGCCCGGGGGGCCGGCCCCTCCCCAGAAGGTGGGATGATCCCCTCATTCGAGCGGGGAGACAGATTCGTCTCCCGGCATTGGACGCTACAAACGGGGCTCCTGGCCTTACTACTATAGGAGCAAGAAGCTACAAGGAGCAAGAATCTCTCCCAAGAAATCATTTGGACGAACATGTTCTCATCTATATAGCATTTGGGAAGTGGTTGGCTGAGATGTGAGGATACCCCACCACCCTCCCCACACAAAGAAAAGGTGCAGCATGGTGTAGCGAACTCTGATTCCATGTTAGGAAAAAGACTTGAACAGGTCGGGATGTGTAAGCAAAATACATAGTGACTCCATGTGAATGCCATCATGGAAGCATCACTCCACCATACTCCACCAACTTCCTGCCTGTATTTCTTACGAGTAATTACTGCAAAGACTGAACTGAATCTTCTTCGCGATTTGTGGCAAGCATCTTATTAGCATCTTAGTGACCAACATCCTGCCATTGCTTAAGTTGAATCAGCTATCCGATGTTCAGACCGTGGAGGAGCGGCTCTTGGTTGAATCCACCCTTCTATTCTTGGACTCCTCGGTCTTGAAGTCTTCAACTGTTCAAACATCTGAAGACTTCAACCCGTCAAAGCCATAGATCACAAGCTCTACCAAGCTCTCACACCTATTGCCTATAGCCCCGCTACGCAAAGATTGGGATCCCATCGCTATGAGCAAAGACCGATCCGGCTTTTGCGCACGACCGTCCGGCTTCTGTTCACCGCGGTGCCGAAGTGTGCGTCTTCCCGGTGCCCGGTGGCCCTTGAATCACCGTGAGCCTGGTGCGGGTGCGGAAGGACTCCGTAGGACCCACAAGGAGTGATGAATGGACACCCCTTCACCTCTAAGGGGCTATCAAATAGACAACCCCTTGATATAGAGGGGGGTCCTGGGGAATCGAAACTGCAGTTCAGTTCAGCAAAGATTCCAAAAAGCTATCATTCATGGGCCAAGAATTGGATTGATGAGCTACAGTGGATCCTTTTTCTTACTGGGGTGAAATGGGGTGAAGATCGATTCTCTAAGTTTAAACTTTGTGTTTACTCTCAATGATCTGATGTGTTTGTTTAAACAAAAAAAGGTACAAAAAGAAACAACTACGAATCCTAAGTGGTGGGAAAGCGATGAACATGAGCCCGAAAATCTCAAAACACGGCTGGGAATGCTATTATTCCACCCCACAAACCGTCGGAATCGCAAAAACACGTTCGCACCTTCGACGGTGTCAAGGTCTCATGGTGTCATGTCCATGAGTCTTCCGGACGTTGTTTCCGATTCAAGTCCTGATGAGGAAGTTCCCCAATGGTTTTGTGCTACCCATCCGCCTCTTCGACATGGCGCTGATAATGGCATGCTTCTGCGCGTCTGAGGTGTTTTGGAAGGCATTTGCCTGGCGGCACAGCATGGCTGAAGCCCATGTAACCAGGAAGGAGGTGAATGATTCTCTTAGAGGATGTTGTGGGAATGCGCTCTGTCGTGATGTGTTTCCAGCGCGATCTGCAAGTTCCAAATCCAAAGCATGCAGCCCTCATCTGCTGGTGATGACACTGGTATTATGGATATGCGATGGTTACTGCGATGGTTGTCACAGTTGCTGCGTTCTGTGACCCTGCAACGTCTGTTGGGTAGGAATTGGTTTACATGGGAACCGCTCACATCATCTCCTTTAAATAGTTAGTGACCAGTGACAATCTGCGTGTCAGGTCAGCTGACAGGCACCAGAAAACAGTTAGCTATATCATATCCATACCAGTGTCAGTGTCATTGCATATCACTGGTATGGATATCACTGGTAGACCGGTAGCTTTATTGAAAAGAAATCGTGTCACTTACGTGACACCGTGACGCATCGAACATGCCGAACGTGACACGACACGGCTGATGTCCGACCGGTCGGATCTGCGAAGATGGACTAGGTCGCAGCTATGAACGATTCCACTTGGGGTTGTCCAATAGCTGAATCGGTAAAGGAAGGGTACCGGCAGTCCAAATCTTAGTAAATATGTGGGGTTCTCATAGGAATCACTACCATTCTTGAATCGTGTTCATTTTTGAATATGCGTTTAGGAAACCTGTTCACTTTCAACAAACCAAATTCCAAGCTGTCAAGCCAACATCATGTCATCATGTGCTGAGGAGTTCCACTCCAATTGGCCAGAGCATTGTACAAGTGCTGGGAGTACAAACATGTGTGTGTGTGTGACAGTTACTAACACAATGATACATGTATATATATAATATATATATACACCCTACCGCCCTACCGGATCTAGAGCAGGCACCCTACCGCCCTAGCGGTTTCTATTGAATGATTTGTATTTCTCCAGGCATTATATATTTCGATGGGAAATTAATCCAGCCACACCCGTCACCCTTCGGAGAAAAAAAACAAACACATGGAACAGGACACATAATATACTAGAAGGTGCAACCAACCCGCCGACCAGTGGGAAGGTGGAAGACCGTTGGCTTGGCTCCAACAAGCTTGAATAGTGCGGAAAATCACAGGCGCAACCTTCTTGAACAGCGCCACCACCGCGTGGCTTGCTTTGAACCTGCTCTAAACACCAACCGTGCGGGCCATGTGTCTTTCCCATGTTGGCGCCTGCGCAGTCGCCAACTTGAGGTTTTCCTCGCCCACAGCCTCAGCGGAAAGTGGCGAAACCCAGCTGTGTCAGGGCCCATATGATGATAAAATTGGAATTGACGAGGATACATGAGGATACCCAGGAATCCATGAGATTTCGATCACCATCAGACTCAAATCATCAGTCTTTGGATCAGCTGGGGTCTTTTGGATCAGCTGGTTCCGTGCGAAGTATTCACCTGGTCTGGCACATCCACCTTTGTCTCATCCCCCGGTGAATGGGTGAATGTATTTGTATCATCCACCATAATAAATGGGCCATTAGCATGTGGCCAAAACGAACTCCGAACCTAGAAACATACATCCAGAAGGCCGAGAAACAGAATGATAAACTTTAAAACACAAGAAAAACAACAACCGTTTCACAGTGTGATCATACGGTGCCTCTTCCTGCCACCACTTCATTGTCAGGCTACACTTGCTTCCTCTGAGGCAAGGTTTATCGTCCTCTTCCTGCGCTCCTGGACATTGTACCCAGGAGTATCCCACACCCTCCAGTTTCCTCCAGCTGAAAGGGTGCCGTTGATATCCGTTTATTTATGGATCTTGCGGTGCTCCGTGGTTTCAACATTGGTATTTGCATGTATCTGTACTCAAGAGCAGCAACAGCTACTTGTAGGTTGCAGTCTTTTGTTGTTCAAATAATTTTGATACCGGGTTCTTCAAAAAGCAGCCATCTGTCTTTGAACCATGTTTGCCTTCTCCACGCCCCTTGACCCCCAACTTCAAAGTTGTGAGACATCTGTCCATGCTGAGGCCTTCCACCCAAAAATAACATGTCAATTTTAGTTGCGGGGATCGTACATACCAACATTGACGTTGGGGGTTCAAGGAAGTTTGATTGCCAAACTTGGACATGTGGGCCCAGCCCACGGGCCCAGTCTAGGGGTGTCCTCTTGCGGTTGTGGTTGTTGGATGTTGCTTTTCTGAATCTTATTGTTCTTGGCCCTCTCCTCCCTCTTCACCCCTTATACTGCCACCACTACTGTCACCACTTCCCTTCCTCATCCTAATGGTCCTATTGTCAATTCAATGTTCCCTTCCCTTCCATTCTCACATTACTGAAACCTTTCTCAACGGCGTCATCAAATGTCGATCTTATGAGGCCACCCCACTTGATATCACCAGCTTGACACAAAACGTCCTCAAAAATACTCTCAACTCTATGTTCGAAACCCCAACCACTGCCCGGAATCTAGATAGTGTCATAAAGAAAAACATGAAAAACAACTATATAGGGGACACATGGGGACACCATCAACTACAACGGTGGCTGTGCCTGCAAATCGCTCTGTGCAATTCGCTGCCCAGTAGACGTTACGTGTTTGCTGCAAAGGGTGTCGGCTTCTCCTCCTCCTCAGGTGTCAACTTTTCCTCCTCGTTCTCCTCTTCTTCTTCTTCTTCGATGATCTCCTCCTCCACTGGTTCCTGGTGCAGGCGAGATGGGTCAGAATTCCTTGCAGAACGTTGGCAAGTGGGAACAAACAAATGTCATTTCAATTCCTGTACAGCTGTCCCCTTCATCAAACTCTGAGAGATACTCGTTTAAAAAGAAAAAAAATCAAACAAACAACAAAACACGTGCAGGACCCACAAGCCATGCTAAACAATCTGATGGGATCCAGCCATTTCCCTCCATTCTCATTTCCCATCCACATTGCTCCTCCTGGAACACCCGAAGACAGCGCCTCGCCTCGTCCATGAAGAAGTCCTCTTCGTCCCAAGCGGCCAAGGCGGCGGCTTTGTTCTTCGCCTGGGAACGAGGCAATGTCACATGCGGAGCCCCAAGCGCGGCAGCGAGGGACCTTCGTTCTCCAAGGTAAGATGGGTGGGGAACATGCACCTTTGGAAAACAACCTTCTTTCAGTAAATTTCACTAACAAAGGGTCTGCCGGAGGGAGGGTTTATAGATATATATATATACACATTATAAATTATATATATATGCATGTGTAATATATGCGTAGACACTTGTAGACAAGTGCTGGCACCCCAACATTACCCAACAGTGAACACCACCCAATCACAGCAACCTAGGATGTCTATCTAGAAACGCCCTTCAAATGCACGTCAAAGACCAATGTGTCTCGCGTCTTCATTGGGCACTTGGAAAAGGAGGCGGCCAATGATGCCCAGGTTACCAAGACGTCTTTGTCCATCTTGCGCAGCTTTTCCTGTTGTGCACCCTTGTAGTCCTTGCCTGGACGGATGTCGATAGCTGGCTGCCAGGAATCGACTGGATGAGTTCATGTCCGGAGCTTCACGTAGGACATTCCAAGTACAACCGGTTGTTCCCTGTGCGTCCCAAACCAACTGACTCAAACACTGTTCTTCTTCACTGCATCTATGGGCGAGCATCACCTCATTTGACTGGATTTAGAGTG